AAAGCCCCCCCCCCGAACTCCCAACCCCCCCCCCGTCTCTTGACTGCCCCCTCCAAAATCTCCCTGCCCCTTCTCCTGCCCCCTGGCCCCCTTACCCTGCCGCTCAGAACATGGTGTTGGGCTCTGTGTGGAGCCGGACACGTGGCTGCGCTCCCCAGCACAACACACAACCCGGTCCCACCCCACCCAGTGCTGCCGGAGCGGGGCGCTGGGCAGCAGGGGAGGAGGAGCTGCCGAGGCCCGATGCAAACGGCCTGGCAGGCCAGCCGGCTCAGAATGCGGGGGGGGAGGGAGGGAGGTGGGGAGGAGGAGCTCTACAGCTGCTCCGGAGTCCAGCCCGGCAAGCTGCGGGGGAAGGGCTCTGGCTGCCAGAGCCCCATGCGAGCGGCTGAATTTCCTGCAGCCCTCCCAGCCGCGCCTCGCTCTGCATGGGGGGGAAATCCCGGACATTTTTAGTGATTTACAAATTCCCCCCCGGACGCTATTTTTAACACAAAAAGCAGGACATGTCCGGGTAAATCCGGACGAATGGTAACCCTAGTGTGTTCTCTCTTCGGTCACAAAGGGAAGGAGACATTATTCAGCTCCTATCATCCATCAATGCCAAAGCACTGTACAAACGGGGTGTGTGTCAGTATCATTAGCCCCCATTTTATAAAAGTGAAGAAACTGGGGCACAAAGAGAAAAAAGGATTTGTCCAAGGTCCATCCCAGAGCAGTGACTATAGCATTGGTCTCCTGTCTTCCACTCCAGAACCCTACCCTCCGGCTACAATCCCACCCTTTTTGAGCCTGCTGTCCACCGCCGTTAAAGCAAGCAAGCCCTTTTTCAAACATCAGAGTTACCCATGGAAAATGTTCACACCTGAGGTGTTTGCAGGCTCCTCCAATCAGGGGACAGGAATACCACCATGTGACTTGACGGACCAACTGCACCTAATCAACCCAGCTGGTCCATAGATTGGCGACTGGTCTGCAGATTTAAAAACCACCATGGAAGTGATAAACCAATGACTGCAAATAGAGGAAACTGCATCAGCTCAGAGTGATTCTGTGAGCAAGGAAAAGGGGCTCAGTTCACCCTATTGGTTACCCCTCATACACTATTTGCTGGACTTCAGTAGGCTGCTGTACATGGGGGCAAAGGGAGATCTTTGTTGAAATATTGACAGTGCATTGCCAGAGATAATCTCCATCAGCCCAAGATTTGTAGGGCTCATAGACTGGGGACTGTTTGTTGTGACTAATAAGGCAAATTCCAGCAATACCTTTGGGAGATCTTACTGTATTAAGTTTATGTATCATTGTGGGTCAGGGCTTGTATGTAATTCCATGTGGGAGGGTGATCAACGCCCTCCAGGAACTAAGAACTTTATGAGGTGTTGAGGCAAATTCACTCAGATTGTAACAACTCCAGAGGAGTATCACCACCTGGGGAGGCTGCATATACTGGTTCCAACTGGATTCTCCAGAGCCCACCAGGCAAAGAAAGGACTTTTGGATAAATTGCCTAACTCAGGGCGTGCTTTCTGATCCAGCAAACAGACAGGACCTTCTGTCCAAGGGGGGGCCCACAGGATGGATGGGTGATGTCAGGTTAGCTTTTAGCATGTGCATAGGAACTTTTCTTGTTTTTAATGCATTTTCTCTGTAATGCTTTCACCTTAACAATAAATGTGTTTGCTTACAAAGCGCTGCGGGGTAACTTATACCTGCAGGCCATTATGCTGTTTGCAGCCTCTGGGGACAGAGCAAAATACAGACGCTGGCCTGCTTAGGCCGTCTGACTTGTTGGGAATAACAGTGTAGGCAGGGAACTGTGGGGCCTGGAAAAACCCAGTCGAGAGGGAGAGAGACACGAGCCTCTATCCCAAGAGAAGTGATGGCTGAGGAGCCAGGAGCCTGAGAGTGGGTGCCCTGGCTGGACTATCGGGGAGAAATACAAGTGCAGTTGCCCTGAACTGTGACACCCACAATAAACTCCTTGGGTAAAACTTCCTTATTAACCTACAGGCTCGTGTCTGTGTGTGTTATTGGTCAGACTGGTCTGTGCTGGAAGATTATGTGGAGAACGAACACTATGGATCAGCAAATACAAGTGCGCAGTACCGAGCTACCCCTCTGGTCCGGAGAAGGTGTGTCTCTCCCCCCCCCCCCCCCCGCGCACCCCTTTTAAGAAACATTTTGTTAAGGCAAAGTTACAATAAAACATTAACATACTACATCACACATCACTTGTTCGGGATCAGGTTAATATTAAAAGAACCTGGCAGTTTCTCAGCTCACACTAAGGGGCCAAATTCCACTGACACCAGTGGAGTTATTACACCGTGGGCATGTCTAGATTATGCGCTGGATCGACGGGCAGTGATCAATCCAGCAGGGGGCGATAAATCGACCGCCGAGAGCTCTCCTGCCAACTCTGGTACTCCACCGGAGCGAGAGGTGCAGGTGGAGGCAACGGGGAAGTGTCAGCTGTCGACTTACCACAGTGAAGACACCGCAGTAAGTAGAGCTAAGTATGTGGACATCAGCTATGTTATTCACGTAGCTGAAGTTGCGTAACTTAGATTGATCCCCCCCACTGTGTAGACCAGGCCCATGAGTTGGATTCAGCCCAAGATGTTCTCAGAGACCAGAATAAAGTTGAAAGGACTTACCACAGCCACTCGTGTTTACCAGTTGTTCGGGACCGTGGGAATCTTGTGACGGGTGAAAGAGACAGGAGACCTAAACAGAGCAAAGCAACAAGAAGTAAGATGGGCACAGCCATGGGCTTTCTCACTGCCTTGTGGAACTGCTCGAGTCCATACATAGTGCCAGGCACATTTTTTTCAGACAAGATTTTTTTATCAGAGAAAAATGCAGATTTGACGACACCCAGATGTTTTGTGAATTCATGTCGATTTGGACTAACTGTTCAGTTCAAAAACAATTTTCATCTCAAAGTTTCCTTTAACTTTATTTTAAAAAATCCAATCAAATGGTCAAAACTGAAACAAACGTAGCGTAGACGGGCCCTTAGAAAAAAAAACTGCACTTTCAAAACATGCTGTAATTAAACCACGGACGTGTCAGGAACTGATAAAGCCCTTACACGGGGAAATGGGACAGATTCATTCTGGAGCAAGAAAATGAGAACGCGGTGAAAACAATAATGATAGAAAAAGCCATGAGGAATCAGCTAACCAGACTAATCCTCCAGAATAATGAAATGGGAAAGAACGTGAAATCATTACAACCAGAGCTAGGTACACCAGGCAGAAATGTACACCAGGCAGAAACTGGTAGTTAGAGGGGGGAGGACTTTCAGGTAAGTTCTCTGGGGCAGGGGCAAACTTTTAGTTGCACCTGTACAGCTCCTAGCACAACAGGGAATTGGTCCACAACTGGGACTCGTGGGCACTACGGTAATAAACAACACAGCCATTGTGTGGTTTCAAACTGCATGAAAAGAGGAACATGGGTTAGAACGATTTTGATTTGCAGCCCATCTAGAGTCAGGAAATAGGTGGGTTTAAAAGGTGTTTGATAAAGGCAAGTCTACAACAGGGCAGGGTGTTATTTATAAGTGGATTCTCTCTCACCGGCAATTTTTAAATCAAGATGGGATGTTTTTCTAAAAGATCTGGTCTAATTCAAACAGGAATATTTGGGGGTAGTTCTCTGGCCTGTGCAATGCAGGAGGTCAGACTAGATGATCACAGTGGTCCCCATTGACCTTGGAATCTATGTATTTTAATCTGGTTTAGTTAAATCAGGGCAAAAGGCCAGGTGGATGCCCTCATTTTGGTTTAAACCATGCTTGTTTCCGTTCATGAGGTTAAACTAACCCAAACTCAGCTGCTCTTCAACTGAAGGCAGAATGTCCACACAGGAGTCTGCACCGTTTGACTAAACTGGTTTCAGTAAACCAGTGCATGTTTGTGTGTAGACGAGGCCCAATGCATTTTAACTCACTTCAGTCTAAACAGGGCTTTGCACTAAGTGTAGATGGGGTGAGTTGTGTTTAAAGACATGTTAGCCGGTCGTGGTTGGGGTTGCAGTTACAGAACTAGCTGCATCTCTGATCTCTCTCTGCTCTTTCTGTATGCAACCTCCCTCCCCCCTGAGGTGTTAGGCCTCTTTCTTTCACCTCGCTAGGGTGGGATCCCAAAACTCTCTTGGTCCTGGACAGGGTGTCTGGCTACAGCCCCTGTGAACTGGCCGTGATCTCTCAGCAGATCCAACCGGGCTCAGCGCCTGCAAGACTTCCCTGCACCAGCTGGAATGATGACTGAAGCGCTGACTGCACAGCTTTCTTAAACCAAAGGACTGCTCAATCTTTGCAGCGCAGCGCAGCACAAATGAGGATTTTAACACAACAACAGGCCTATGAGCTTGGCTGTCTGACCTAATCCTCAGCATCCCCCTGACAGCTTAGTCAGGCCCACCTGCTTCCGACCCATCCTGCAGGGCTTGGGTCTTAGACAGGGGGCTGTTAACTCCCCTACAAAGTCACTCTAACTGATTCAGTCCTTTGGATCCCTCTATTCCCAGCCTGGGCAAAACAGCTGTGTAACTCGGGCTGGGGCCCGCAATTAGCATCTTCACAGCTCAGTGGCTCCAGCCCTGTCTCTTATCCACCTGCCCTGTTTACCCCGAGGTGCCCTATCCCGATCCACTGTGTTACCTCCCTGCTATTCAACTAGCCCCCCCAGGGGCAGACAGTAAACCTCTCCCATGTCACGGTCACATACAGCATCTAGAAATTAACACAGATCGGAATTCCTAACCCCACATCACCACAGCCAGCTCAAGGCTCCTCCCAGGACTATCCATGAGCCGCTAACCCATTTATAGGCACGGCTCGTTCTCCTAAACTCACTGGGCCCTTTGTGGGGGTCTGGTTATAGAACTGCAGTGAGAGCGCGTTCACAAGCATAGCCACATCCCGCCAGGGCAGCTAGGCAGGGGCCCTGCCCCTCTCTAGGGCAGAAGGCCCATCCCCCATTTCCTAGCCCTTCTCTCTGCACCTTCTCACAGAAGACCTGCTCTACCAGGCTCATCCCCCTGGAGTGGTGCCCCATGCGCCCTCCTTCCAATCCCTCCTCAGGCCTCTTTCTTGGGGGGAGGCGGGCCAGCAGTGTCAACCTCCCCTACCACCCCCCCCCCCGCAGCGTCAACCTCCCCTCCCCCACCCCAGCCCCCTAACTGCATCAACCTCCCCTCCAACCCCCAGCAGCACCAACCCGAACCTCCCCTCTACTGCCCCCTCCTCCAACCCCAGCAGTGCCGACCACTGGATTTATCCTCCTTCAGACTAGGGCCGGCCCTAGACCAAATGGCGTCTGCCCTCCATTTCCTAAACTTTTGAATACCTTATTTTTATTGCATTTGTAGCCCATTTCATGACTTTGAGGCAGAGTTTGACTTGCATGATTTATCCCTGTCATATAAGATGACAAATTTGCATGCTAAGATCTGTAAATCTGTATTTATTCATGCCATATATAAGCAAATAAAAAAATTTGTTTCCTCTAAGCTTATAGAAACTTTTTAATGTTAAGAATAAGCATCTTTTATTTTCCATGGGGGGAAATATTAGGGAGAGCAAAAGTCTATGTTCCGCAGTCTTAGAAAGTCATCAAACATTACGCGTTAAGCATGGCCAAAGAAGCAACGGGGTTTGATTGATATCTCTGGTGTCTCATTAAATATGTCCTTTATTTGTCGCTACTCACACTCTTCAAGTCTTAAAACACAAGTCCACTTTCACAATTACACAACAAAACAAGGTTCACAACATCACAACTGGGCTCTCACGTCTCTTTGTTCTTACATCTCACTGGCTGTCTGGCTACGCCCCTTATCTACCCGCGAGGGTCTGGCTGACAACGTTCTAGGAGGTTCGAGGAAAATGTAGTTCTCAAAGTCTGGAAGGTTCCAGGAGATTCTACATTCTAGGAGGTTAGTGACAAATGACTCCACCTACGGAACACCAGAAATATGTCACCTCAAACCTTCTCTTTTCCCCTTTGTCGCTAAAAACAAAACCAGCCGCCCGAGCCCGGTACTCCACAAACCCGGCACCCCAGGCAGTCGCCTGCCCCTAAATTTGGCCCTGCCTCAGACTATTAGAATATATTAATTTACCACAAATGTTAACTCTCCCTCTCTCACACTCACACCTTGTGTCTCTTTCAGGCTGTCACTCACGCAGAACTCACAAACTGTGCAAATACCCCCTAGCATTTCTCATGCTCCCTGACTGTTGTAACCCTTCTCCTCACAATCCTCATCACCGCATCTCTATCGCTTCTTCCCACGCTAAGTCAGCTGCAGAACCTGCTCCTGCAAACCCTTGCTACAGAGCCTAGCGCTGACCGCTGCGCGTAGCAGCCCTGGTGAAATCGATTGGCCAGAGGATGGCAGCCGTTGCTAGTGCTCAATAGGGGGATTTTGCAGAATTAGGCCCTTTGATTGCCAGATTCTAGTGGCAGACTCTGTGTCTGACACTTCTCTGTAAGTCTCCAGGCTTAGCTATTGCACTACAGAATACAGCATAATAACCAGATTCATGCAAGCACTTTGCTATTGGTCGCCTCCCAGCCCCATCCCAGCACTTCACACACAGATTACCACGAGGGTTCTCAACCTTTTTCTTTCGAGGTCCCCTCCTCCCCCCGCAACATGCTATAGAAACTCCACGGCCCAACTGTGCCACAACAACTGTTTTCTGCGTATAAAAACCAGGGCCGGCGTTAAGGGGTAGCAAGCAGGCCAATTGCCTGATGCCCCACGCCACAGGCCCCCCCGTGAAGCTAAATCGCTCAGGCTTCTGCTTCAGCCCCGGGTGGTGGGGCTCAGAGCCCCGGGCTTCAGCCCTGCACAGCAGGGCTTAGGATTTCTGCTCTGGGCCCCAGCGAGTCTAACACTGAGGACTTGGCGAACCCCCTGAAACTTGCTAATCCCTGGTTGAGAACCACTCAGTTAAAGGACAATTGATTATTTAAAAGCTGTTTAACACCTGTGAAATAATCCTGCATTAAATATCTGGTGCCTTTGCCTCCAGGGCTGTAAGGCCCAGATCCTGAATGGTATTTAGGCTCCTAACTCCCATGGGAGCCTAAATACCTTTCAGGATCTGGGCGGGAGTGAGCTCCAAATCCAGGTGGAATCAGAAATCATTTTCACTTGCCCTAATCAATTCGTGACTGCGGCACTAAAACACCAGCACTGCCCTGCACCGTCCCGCTTTTCCCCCATTTGTGCAATGAGCCAGACAGCCCCACAACAAACGTCACGGGCTGAGTCCCAGCTGGTGTAAGTTGGCATAGCTCCAATGGATCAGCACTGACCCCTCACCATGGTGACAGGGGAGCACACCTAGCTTTCGGTGCCACTTGAGGCAAAGCAGAGTATTCTCTAGTGAAGTGAGTAGCAGAAGAACGTAACCCAGCGCTGCCCCTCGGCATGGTAAGAAGATGTCTTGTGCACCTCCGATGTGTGTCTTCAGGAGCACGGATCCTTTAGGGGCTTCGTCTGACTCATTATAATCTGTATTCAGTGCTGGGCTCCAGACATCAGTCGCCGACTCTAAATCCTGGTACTTTTAATCCCTAGGAAGGGACTTAATCAAGGCATACAAACTCACTAATGACCCAGGGAAGGGAAATCTAAGACTCCTGTTTCCAGTTTTCCATTGGAGAAGAGCAAAGGGACATTTCATTC